AATGTCAGACTTAAATCCAACTAACCCAACATTCACATTCATTAAATAAATATTCTAATAAAAATATAGAAGTTGTCATCCCAAACAAAAAAGTAAGATCCATCTATATGCTTTCTGTAACAGACACACTTTAGAGTCAAAGGCAAAAATAGGTGCAAGAAAAGATTAGAAAAATATACCCTTGACAAACAGTAACCTTGTAAGTGAGCAAAAATGGTTATCCTAATACCTAAGTAGCTGTTAAAACAAGAAATATTACTAGAAATTAAAAGAAACATTTCAACATGTTAAGGCTTTCAATATAAGAGGAAGGTAAAGCAATGATAAACATATATTATTCACCTGACAACAGAATCCAGGCCTCAAACACGTGAAATAGAAAGTGACAGATTTGGAAGGATAAATAATTAAATAAGCATAGTTGAAGTTAATTTAAAAGCTCTTCTGTCAGTAGTGAGAGAACAGCTAGTCAGAAAATCAGGAGTCCTACGGAAGACTGTCAAAGTAGTAAGAACCAGTTTTACATAACTGACATATATAGAAAGGGTCTAGGTCATAAACAGGGATCAAATATTTAAAGGATGGAAATTTTCAAAGTATAGTGTCTGAAGACAAAGGAACATTAGAAGCAATAACAGAAGGAAATATGGGCTATTTTCAAACATGTGGAAAGTGATACATTTCTGAAAAATTTCCAGTTCAAGGATGAAATCTTTGAAAATAACCTTTACTAGATGATATTAAACTGAGAATATATCAAAACCTTATGTGGGATTGAATGTAGTATTTAGAGACAATTTGTAGCTTTGTCATTTACACTCAAAAGGAAAAATGTTATAAAATGACTGGTCTGAAGAGTTCCCTTTCAAGAAAATATAAAGAAAAGAGCCAATTAAAATTACAGAAGGAAGAAATAATAACATACATATAGCTGAAAGATGATTGTGAGGTATGTATAGTAGAATAATTCATGGAAGCCTCAAATGGATCATACCCAAATATCTAAGGGCATCAGCAATGGGATGGATGAATACATTGTAGTAGAATCAGGCAATAGATCAGAAATGAGTTTGGACAATTTGGAAACTTCATGCAACTCTGTTGGATGAATTGCACAAGTTTAGCTTCCCTTGAAAATTCCAAAAATAAAGTATGCATGCTGTATGATTCCATTTATATAAATGTCTTTTTTAAAATACAGGTAAGAACTTGAAAGGGACATTTTGCAGTGCTGCTAAAATTAATTTACACATTGCAGGTGATGGTGACACTTGAAAATGCAGCCATCATGTGGCAAGTATCCCATGGGCATCCATCTGTACGTACATTATACCACAATAAAATTACCACAAGAGAATATTATGACAATGTGCACAACTATTTAAAATGGGATTTTCATAAAATTGAAAAAATCCTACCAAATACAACTTGTGAAGCCTGAAACAAAAATAAAAATATCAGAAGTGTCTTATAACTTCTAAAACATTTTTATCTGTCATTCTGAAAGCTTTCCACACTCAGTGACAGAATATTGAGATGTTTATGAATGAAGAAAATGTAAGGCAATTAAAAACCAAAGACCCCTTGTAGGGTAGAAAAAGAAGCTAATAGAATATGTGATAGGTGCATTTTGATGGGAATATTTAAAAAAGGAAATTATGTGTCAGTGGCAATAATAAATATATTCAGATAATATATAAAAATAATGGATTATGACATAAGTAGATTTATTGAAGCAATACCATCCTGGATTTACATTTACAGTTCCATCAGCTTGGTCTGTCATTTTAGCAGAGTAAACAAGGTCAAATAATGTGATAGCTGTGGTTCAGAAGGCTACTGATAAAACTAATATTCATTCTTAATTTTAAAAAATCTTTACAAAGATAGAAATAAATATGAAATGATGCAATGATCTAGAATACATATGATAACTCTGAAAAAGAACTATTATAAACTACTGTTTAAAAAAGAGGCTGTTTTTAAAGTGTGATATTGACATAAAAATACATAATGATATTAATAAAACAGATTATAAAGTGCAAAAACTATACCCACATACAAATGGAATGCAGGTTTCAACAATGTTGCAGCCATTCAGTGGAGAAAGTAAGTTTTTTCAGCATATGTTGTGAAAACAAGGGAGTATCAATATTATTAATAAATATATACTTTATACTATGTACAAAAGTATCAAAAATTGATCATCCTTAAGTGTAAATGATAAAATTTCAAGAAGATGGATGAGAAAAAATGCATGACCTAAAATTGGGCAGACATTCCTCAGAACACCAAAAACGTGATCCATGAAAGAACAAATTGGTGAAGTGTGGTTCATCAGGATAATTTCTACTTTTTGAAGAGAAAGGTAAGACAAGTCATAGCCTTGGGAGGAAATATTTGCAAATCATACATCTAATAAAAGCCTTGCTGTCAAGATACAAAAAGAATTCCCAAAATACAATAACAGAAACTAAAAATATAATAAGCAAAATATTTCAAGAAATGACTTCATCAAAAAATGTGTACGGGTGGCAAATGAGTACAGTAAAAGAAGACCAACAATATTAGTCTTAGGAAAATTCATATTAAAACATCTGTAGATCAGACGTCCTCTTCCTTCTACTGAATATCGCTAAAACCCCTGGACTTTATATTACAAGACAACATACGAAGATTCAGAAAGATGATGAGAAAGCTGACAGACCGGCGCACTCCAGACCCAAGGAATGACATGGCAATGAGTTCCCTAGAATTTCTCTTTCTTTTAGATGTCCCAGTCTGGTGTCAGAGAGGCTGACAACTCACAGACCCAAGGGGTACAGACAACAGCCCCCCCAATGTTTTTTTCTCTCTAGTCAAAATAATGGAAGAAATGCATGCTAGAAAGACAGAAAAGTTTTAGACTCGTGCATTATCCCAATCAAATGCTTCAACTGTCCAGGAAAAATACTGCTCAGGAATGCAGGTGAAATACAGCATTCTCTTAAAAAGGAAAACTAAGAAAATGTGTCACCACCAGACTCACTCTGAAAGAACTGCTAAAGGGAAATATCTAAACAGAAATTAAATGATGAAAGAAGAAATCTTGGATCATCAGGAAGAAAGGGACAATAAATGAAAGAATAGAACTACCATTAGGGCTAATGGACTTTCCTTCACCTCCTGTGTTGTCTAAAGTGTTTGATATTTGAAGCAAAATAATCGGTTGAAACAAAATTATAACATCCATGATTCTCAGCATAAGTAGAGAAATATTTAAGACAATTATAGTATAAATGGGACACAGTAAAGTATGTAAGGGAAAGTAAGGCTTTACATTTTACTGAGAGTGTTGTGGGTTGTGGTAAACTGTGTAGACTGATATATGTGTGTACAATTATCCATATAAACATATCTAATACCTATACTACTTATATAAAGTATATTAGAGCATATATGCATGTATATTTATAACTTTATATGGATGTATAGTTATAACTTTTATAAATTTAAAACTTTTAAGTTTTAAGTTTTAAAGATTTTTAAGTTTTAAGATAAAGTTTTGAAGTTTTTATCCACTTGGATCTTCTTAATTAGGTCATGACGTAGAAAAGTATAACCTTCACTTTTATCTCGCAGCATCGTAAATACAACATCACCAAAAATAAATTCCAATTGGATCATAAACCTTAACTAAAGGTTAAAAAATAAAGAAATAAAGAAAAAGGTAAATCCAGGAAAGTCATATAGGAAATTATATTCACAAACTTTGACTAACTTCTGAAATCAGTCCAAAATAATCACTAACACCCAAACAACAAATTGGGTGATGGTAACACTAATTTTTTTTTAAATTTAAATTTAATTGGCCAAGGTATAGTACATCATTAGTTTTTTATTAAAATTCTGATCATAAAAATTTCAATAAGAGTAAAAATGCAAGTCACAGCTATTTTCATCTCATAAACTCAAGTGCTCATATCTAAAGCATGATGAAAACTTCTAATAAGGGAAAAGAAACACCATTTGGGAGAAATGGGCAAGGAACACACACAGGGATATAATGCTGTATTTCTACATTATTATTTTATTATGACAAACAAAACATTTCTATTCCCTAATTATAATATACTATATACTATGTCATTATGTGTAATAAACTATAAATACAATATACGGAAAAAAAATAGAAAAGGCTTTTCATAAAGTAATTATTCATTATACTTTCATACTAAAGAGGAACTAAAATTCTGAGACTAGCTTTTAGAAGGTCCTATTCATATTAGACAGCAGTGAGCATTCATAAACTCTAGACAATGCAATGATATAGATGGATTACAATATCATGTGAGAGTGAAAGGAGACACCCATAAAAATGCATACTCCATTATCCCATTGATGTAAGGTTTGAAAATAAGCAAAGATATTTCACATTATTAAAATGGGAAGGGCTGGGGTGCCTGGGTGGCTCAGTGGGTTAAAGCCTCTGCCTTCGGCTCAGGTCATGATCCCAAGGTCCTGGGATAGAGCCCTGCATCGGGAATCTCTGCTCAGCAGGGAGCCTGCTTCTCTCTCTCTCTTTCTGCCTGCATCTCTGCCTACTTGTGATCTCTCTGTCAAATAAATAAATAAAAATCTTTTAAAAAATGGGTAGGGCCAATAGAGGCTCTAAACTTCTATTTCATGCTCTGATTTGTAATTGTATGGTTCTAACTACTTTGTGATTAAGTTGCACAATCATATGTTTAATTTCCTTGACATGTAATAAAATTACACAGTAAAGTTATTCCAGGCAAAAGAGCATTTATAGAAGCAGGGTTTTCTATGAAAAGCAAGAACTGGCAATTGTCAAGTGTACAATAAAGATTTAAAAATATAAATAAAATATCACAGTCAAACTATGGAATAGTAATAGACTTTAAATAAGCTAGAAATATGTACACAAAGATGGATGAACTCTAAAATATAATATTAATTGATAAGCTTTTAATAAAATTTGGAAACATCTGAAATCCTACCAATTCTTCTTCATCCTCTATGGAGAATAGGGTAGACTTCTTCGAAGCGCAGGCTGACAAACTCTCATTCCATGATTTTTTTTCAGTGCTAATGTAATAGCAATTGTTGGAATATGTCATCCACTCTTTTGGACAATGACCACAGTAATATGCTGGACAAAAATTATAAGATATTCTCCAAAAAGTTTCAAATATTAAAAAATGCAAATTGACAACTGACATATGTATACACATGTGTATATAACGTATCCATGACCCCTCACAAGCTGGCAAAAATAAAACAAAATACACACATGATACACCCAGAAGAGGTGTATATTAGGTGCCCTAATATATGTGCCTATATAGAGCAAATACACCCCCCCACACACACAGACACACACAGACACAGACGCAAAAACATCTCTAAATGCCCTTTGAGTCACTGAACAAAACAACTGTTTTGGAATTGTATAGTGGTTTATCTTTTATCATGCTATAGCAGGAGGAAATTTGAGATAATCGATGACTATGGGTATGATTATTTTGTGATTTTTTAAAGGTTTTATTTATTTGATATATTTCTGTTTTTAAAAGATTTTATTTATTTGTCAGAGAGAGAGCAAACAGAAGCAGGGGCAGTGGCAGTCAGAGGAAGAGGCAGGTTCCCCACCAAGCAGGAAGCCTGATGCTGAACTGGATCCCAGGACCCTGAGATATGACCTGAATAGCAGGCTAATACTTAACCAACTGAGCCTCCCAGGCATTCCATGGTTACGGTGATTTTAAATAGTATTTCATCATACTGTTTCATAAGTAATAGAAGTAATAATAAGAAGTAATAATAAGTAATACTTTCCTATAATTATTATTTCTGAGAGTTTATTACATGATTTTCGAATTTGTTTTACTCAAAAGAATCAATTATCAGGGACACCTGGGTGGCTCAGTGGGTTAAGCCTCTGCCTCGGCTCAGGTCATGATCTCAGGGTCCTGGGATTGAGCCCCGCATCGGGCTCTCTGTTCAGCAGGGAGCCTTCCTCCCCCTCTCTGCCTGTCTCTCTGCCTACTTGTGATCTCTGTCTGTCAAATAAATAAATAAAATCATAAAAAAATCAATTATTATCTTTTCCTAGCCTAAGATAGAGATAAAATAGAAATTACACTAATAACAGAATTTTGAAAATGATGTACCTTTCTGGATCCTAGTTTCCAGGGATGTTTTGTTCTGTTTTCGTCCTTCAGTAACTAGAAAAATTAAAGCAATCCTCATACAAACTTAATATTAAATTAAATAAAACAATGATTTGAGTTTCTTGGTTTGAAAGTTGGCATATTGTTTAGAATTAGAAAATTCTGTAATAAAATTGATTTTACCAGTAAGTGGTTAATGAAGTAATGAACATGTCGGGCGGGGGGGAATTCAAAAGCTTAAAGAACCAAACCTCACCACTTTTTACAGCATTTTGTTTCAACAATCTCAAGAATTAATTTGTCTCTATAAGGTCTCTCCTATAACTTGCATTTGAGGTATGAAATCTGAATATATGTATAATACTCTCTACAATTATTCTATTATTTCTACATTTGGCAAATTCAGAGTAACAATTCTACCCGAAAGCACACATGCATTAAAATGAGATAAGACAATTCCATAGTACTATGCAATATTTCGAGGTACTGACAATCATTAATGTGAAAAGTTCTCTTGTAGACATTCAAACACTTACTTACCAGGAATAACAGCTATTGTGACCACAGTGCACATTAAGACAAGGCAAATGATCCCCAGGATCCCAGCAATGAGCTTCCCTGGACATAAAGGTAAATAGTTGGAAGAGAAATGAAAACAATGAGAAAGGATGGGCAGAAATAATCCTTTAGGAAATGTACATACAAGAGAACCAACAAGATGCACAGAGAATCATATAAAAACTTGCACTCCAAACCCACATCTACCATTATAATCTTCTCAGAATGTAACATTGCAGTGGCAGTAAATTTATTACCCCAGGAGATGTTGGTAAAGATTACAAATTATAACAAAGCTGGAACAAAGTTAGTCTTCAGATATCAATTACAACACTATATTGCAACTTCAAGCTCTGCTCTTCAGAAATGAGAAATAGGTGTCATTCCCTACTCATTCTCTGCACTTCTACTGCCCAACTGCACATCATAGTACATCATACAACAGATATACTGTGTGTGTATTACATGTTTTACCTTTGCAGTGGGAGTTCTTGCTGTTCCTTTGAGGATCCTGAGAAGCATTTTGAAGATTCGAAGCATCTTGAAGAGTTAATTCTGCATATGTTATTTCCTGCTCAGTTTCCAAAATTCCACTTTTAGTGCCCTTAGCTTTCACTTGCTGTCTTCTTAAACCCTTAACCTGACTGAGTTCTGCATAGGTAACTCCTTGGTTATTCATCTCTGCAGCTGCGTCCTGTCAGGCACAGGGCTGAGTGGGACTGTACTGAAGGACTTGATGAATAGTGTAGGCGATGACAAGACTGCTGAGACAGTCACAGGGGGTGGAGGGTGTGGTGAGTGGTAGTACCCATTTGCCATTGAACAATGTAAAATCTGGTACTAATTTCCTTAGAGCATTTCATGATAGAATAAGTTATTTTTACAATGATATTCTATGCTTGACACAATAGTATTAGTTGGAAAAGTATAAAGCAATAAATTAGTGAAGAAGAAAGGAATTCAGGAATAATATTGTCCTTATTAGTTTAAGGTCAGAATCCACAAAAATATTTCAACATTATTAGAATAACTGGTTTAAAATTAAAATGCCAAATTAGAAAAAAAAAAGTGCTGCATCAATTTTGGGGAGCAATTTTTATATCATGTGTTGATTAAAAATTGGTGTTCTAAGATTGGGGAATACTAGTTTAGTACATATAGGAATTTCCTGGAGTAAATGACTTTTATTTCAACAATTAGATTTCTTTACCTAAAAAGTAATGCAGCCCCATCAAGTGAACTCTTTTTTTGAATAATTTTGGAGTTCTGAGAAATCGTTAAATTTTAAAAGAAAGATTTTATATGTCACATGACATATTAAACTTTTCCAAAACCTGAACCATATTGAAAATAAAACAAAAAACCCCATATATATATATTTAAAGATTATATTTATTTACTTGACAGACAGAGATTGTGTTTGTGTGAGCATAGAAGGAGAGGGAGAAGCAGACTCCCTGCTGAGCAGAAAGCCTGACACTGGACTCGCTCCCAGGACCCCAAGATCATGACCTGAGCCAAAGGAAGATGGTTAACCGGTTGACTGAGTCACCCAGGCACCCCAAAACCCATATTTTTAAAAAGCACTTATTAACACAAGAAATTGACAATTGATTTAATGGCAAAGAATGAAAGCTTAGAATGATAAATAAGAGTGTAGATCGTGGGGCACCTGGGTGGCTCAGTGGGTTAAGCCTCTGCCTTTGGCTCAGGTCATGATCTCAGGGTCCTGGGATTGAGCCCCACATTGTGGGGGTGGGGGGTGTCTCTGTTCAGCAGGGAGCCTTCTTCCCTCTTCTCTCTCTGCCTGCCTCTCTGCCTACTTGTGATCTCTGTCAAATAAATAAATAAATAAATAAATAAATAAACCTTTAAAAAAAGAGTGTATGTCATTTATAGAAGAACGCTGTTGGTACAAACTTCTAGAAATGTCTATGAATGTCAAAGGCAGTGAGGATAGCTTTAGTTGTATAAGTAATTCCACTAAATGAAATCAATGTAATTTCATAATTCAGTCAATGAGCTCTGCACTTAGTGAAAGCTGGAATTACTCCTGGCTTTCAATCTTACAAAGTATGAGTTTTAAGAAGTTACTTCCTATCTAGTTATTTAATTTTTACTAATCTAAAATGGTAATTAAAATATGTAGAACATAATGCAGATAAAACACTTAATATTCCATCTGGCTTTTCTCAGCTCTCAATAATGTATCAGTTATTTTAATTATTTTTAACACAATGGCCACTTTATCATTACTGACTCATATCCTTCAGAGTATGTAACATAATTCATTAGACAGGAGTGTCTTTCAGTATCAAAACACTTTTTTTGTTAAGCTTTGACTTGAACATTTGTACTTAAGCTTAAATTAGCATTTTTACAGAAGATACCTCATCTTCCTTTTTACGAAAAATCAAACTGTCGTAATTTATCAAAGCAAATATATGACCATTTGACCATTATGATTTGATTGTTTCATTTTAAGATTTTTATCTTATTTTATTTTTAAAGCCTAAGGTAAATATCAAATAATATAGTAACTATATCTATAATTGATGACAGATCCAGACTGTTCCTTCTCATGATGCTTATAGGATTTCACTTAAAATTATATTGATTTGCAAACACAATTTATGCCTGTGGATATATACTTAATTACTTCTCTACAGGCAAGAATTTGGATATTTTAAGAAGTTCTCCAATATATTTCAAATAAATTTTTGTTTGTCACCCTGAATTGTTGGAATAAAGGTACCAATATTCTCTGTGATTTGATTGTATATTAGTTGTGCCTCAGATGCCTCCCGTCCAGTATTTGTTATCTCCCACTAAGTGAGGTGCTAGGAGAGAGCAGAGGAGTGACACATACCTTCTGCTGGTCAGAAAGTCATGCATCTTCCAGTGGGAGACCAGGTTACTCTTGCAAACAGACAGAATCTGTGGTCTTCACAGACTGCCGGCCCTGTGAGAGAGCTCAGAGTGAGGCAATAGTGGAAAAAGTAGATTTCTCATCAATGTGTCACTTAAAATTTGAACAGGAAATCCTTACACTTAGGCTATTTTGAAGACACTTTATCTCATCACACACCTCCAGAATGTCTGAGACTTTCAGCTTGTAGTGTGTCATTTAGTCTGTCCCTTGGCAAGTGCCTCTGAGAAATGTTTATGTTCCACAAGATATTGGGGTCAGAGACTTGACCATTAGGCCGTTAACTTCCTTCCAGCTCAATCACAAATACTTGAGAACGTGGGCTTGTGAAAAATGTTTAAATTTTACTGTTAGGGTTTCTACATCTTACATCATGCTTGTCTTTCTTGCACCTTTGCTATGTCATATCTATTACACTGAAAATACTTTAAAATCATCATTCTGTTAATAGGTATTTAATGATATTTGACACTAATTCTGAAGACTCACTACATTTTCATCCTTATTGTAACTGCCACAAGGACATAACTTCCAAACTTACCTTTTCAATTTTTCTACCTTCATTTTTAATATACCTGCATTTTTTTTTCAGCATAACAGTATTCATTGTTTTTGCACCACACCCAGTGCTCCATGCAATCTGTGCCCTCTCTAATACCCACCACCTGGTTCCCCCAACCTCCCACCCACAGCTGTTTCAAACCCCTCAGATTGTTTTTATTTTTATTATTTTTAAATAAGTTATTTAGGTTTCTCCTGAAAAAATTATGCTTGTCAGGGAAATTGAAATTTAAAAAAAAACCAGCATCTCAGAGATTTGAATATTAAATAATTATTCATATTATTCATTGATTCATCCTCCAATGATAACTATTTAAATAAGAATAGTTGTATTTTAATAAGAATAATGATTGTAAATGAAAAAACTATAGGTCTAACTATATAGTGGGAAAATGAATGCAATGCTTAAAAATTTCACTTAATTCAAAAAATTAAGATTGACAGAGAAGGTACTTTTTAAACACAAATATCACATGTGCATCACATAATTTTTAAAGATATTTGCAAATATGTTTCTATTGCTCTGTAGTTCTGTTGTTTTGGTTTAGTTTTGCAAAATCGGTTGAGAATATTTTTTTACTTTATTTATTTCTAATAATGTGTAGTTGACATAAATATTATATTACTTCCAGGTGTAGATACAGTGATTCAAAGTTTATATACCTTTTATGATCATTATAAAACTCATTACCATCTATCACCATATAAAATTAATACAATGTTATTGAATATGGTCCTTGTGCTGTAATTTGTATCCCTGTGACTTCTTTTGTAACTGAAATTTTGTATTTCTTATTTCCTTTTACCTATTTCAGCCATCCCTCCATGCCCCTGCCCTATGGCAATCACAACTTTGCTCTCTCTTTATATGACTCTGTTTCACTTTTTTTGTTTGTTTTAGATTGCATATTGTTAGTCAAAACATATGGTATTAACTTCCTTTATCTGACTAACTTCATTTGGCATAAAATCCTCTAGTTCTATCAATTTTGTAAAAAATGACACACATTTGTTTTTATTGCTGAGTAATATTCCATTGTGTATATGTACTGTTTCTATTTACTCATTCGCCCATAGATGGACACATGGGTTGCTTCCATATCCTGGATATTATAAGTAATGCTGAAGTAAACATAGGGGGCACCCATCTCCTCAAGTTAATGTTTTCATTGTCTTTAGATCCCCTGAAATGGATATTCTGGATCTAGGTATTTCCATTTTCAATTTTCTGAGGCATCTCTATACTGTTATTCATCATGATGGCACCAATTAAAAGTCCCACCAGCAGTATACAAGGTTCTCTTTTCTGCACATCCTCACCAGTATTTGTTATTGCTTATATTTTTAACTCTGAGAGCATTTTGCCACTCATTGTGGTTTTGATTTTCATTTTCCTGACAAGTATAATGTTGAGCATCTTTTCATGGTCTTCTATATATTTTCTTTTAAAGAAATCTGTTCATGTCCTTGGCCCATTTTTTAATGTTTGCATTTTTTTGAGATGTAGGAATTCCTTATATATTTGGATATTAAGCTCTTGTCGGATATATTATTTGCAAATATCATCTCCCATTATTGACTGCCTTTTTGTTTTGTCGATGGTTTCCTTGGCTGAGCAAAAGTGTAGTTTGATGTACTTTTTATTTCTCATTTTGTTGCCCTTCCCTATGGAATCAGACCCAAAAGAATAAAGTTAAGGCCTATCTCCAGAGTTTATTGCCTATGCTTTCTTTAAGAGTTTTGTGGCTTCTGGTTTTACACCTACATCTTTAATTCATTTTAGGTTTATTTTTGCTTATGGTGTAAATAGGAGGTCCAGTTTTATTCTTTAACACATAGTTTTCCAGTTTTTTAAACACCACTTACTGAAGACTCTTTGTTCCCCATTCTCTATTCTTGCCTTCTCTGTCATATATAGTTGATCATACAAACAGGTTTATTTCTGGGCTTTGTATTCCATTCCTTTGATCTCTGTTTCTGTTGTTGTGTCATACTGCTTTGATTGCTAGAGCTTTGTAGTATAGTTTTAAGTATATGTGCATGTTACTTCCAGTTTTGTTCTAAAAGCTCCACACAAACTTTTAAGATAATTTATTCTTGTTCTGTGAAAAATGCTATTGGGTTTTCATAGGGATTACATTGAATCTTTATGCTGTTTTGCAAAATATGGATATTTTCACAATATTAATTCTTCTACTCCATAAGCAAGGTATAGATTCCCATCTATTTATTTGTGTCATCTTCAAATTTCTTTAT